AAAAAAAAGTTTTAAAGTTTGTAATTTTGAAGTTTTGAATCAGAATTGTGAGAATAAATTGTGTGTTTGTTCGTGAAGCGCAGATCTGCGGACACACCGGGACTTTCCTGCCTGCGGCCGGTTCAGACCGGATCAGGCTCAGACCAGGTTTAGTCCAGGTCTAGATCAGGTTTAGACCAGGTTTAGACGAGGTTTAGTCCAGGTCAGACTTTCTCCTCTTTTTTTCTCTTTTCTAAACCTTTTCTCGAGTAAAACACAAACGTCGTTCAGTCTTAATAAACATGTTTCTTTATTCTAAACTTTCACTCGCTGCGTAAAAATGGCACACGCACTTTACGCACGGTGCGGATGACGCAACGACGCTGCCCACTTAAATATTACATCATTAAATCTGGTCCGCGGGAAACGAGCGCCGTAAAAAAAGTTTTAAAGTTTGTAATTTTGAAGTTTTAAATCAGAATTGTGAGATTTAAGTGTCTGTTTGTTCGTATGGATCTGCGGACACACCGGGACTTTCCTGCCTGCGGCCGGTTCAGACCGGATCAGGCTCAGACCAGGTTTAGACCAGGTTTAGACCAGGTTTAGTCCGGGTCTAGTCCAGGTTTAGTTCTGGTTTAGTCCTGGTTTAGTCCGGGTCTAGTCCAGGTCTAGTCCGGGTTTAGTCCGGGTCTAGTCCAGGTTTAGTTCTGGTTTAGTCCTGGTTTAGTCCGGGTCTAGTCCAGGTCTAGTCCGGGTTTAGTCCGGGTCTAGTCCAGGTTTAGTTCTGGTTTAGTCCTGGTTTAGTCCGGGTCTAGTTCCGGTTTAGTCCGGGTCTTGTCCAGGCCTAGTCCTGGTCTAGTCCTGGTTTAGTCCAGGTCTAGTCCGGGTTTAGTCCAGGTTTAGTCCAGGTTTAGTCCGGGTCTAGTCCTGGTCTAGTCCTGGTCTAGTCCAGGTTTAGTCCAAGTTTAGTCCGGGTCTAGTCCGGGTCTAGTCCTGGTCTAGTCCGGGTCTAGTCCTGGTCTAGTCCGGGTCTAGTCCAGGTCTTGTCCAGGCCTAGTCCGGGTTTAGTCCAGGTCTAGTCCTGGTTTAGTCCTGGTCTAGTCCTGGTCTAGTCCAGGTCTAGTCCGGGTTTAGTCCTGGTTTAGTCCGGGTTTAGTCCGGGTCTAGTCCAGGTTTAGTCCGGGTCTAGTTCAGGCCTAGTCCGGGTCTAGTCCAGGTCTTGTCCAGGCCTAGTCCGGGTTTAGTCCAGGTCTAGTCCAGGTCTTGTCCAGGCCTAGTCCGGGTTTAGTCCAGGTCTAGTCCGGGTTTAGTCCTGGTTTAGTCCAGGTTTAGTCCGGGTCTAGTCCTGGTCTAGTCCTGGCCTAGTCCTGGTTTAGTCCTGGTTTTGTCCAGGTTTAGTCCAGGTTTAGTCCGGGTCTAGTCCAGGTCTAGTCCTGGTTTAGTCCTGGTCTAGTCCTGGTTTAGTCCTGGTCTAGTCCAGGTCTAGTCCTGGTTTAGTCCTGGTCTAGTCCTGGTCTAGTCCAGGTCTAGTCCTGGTTTAGTCCTGGTCTAGTCCTGGTTTAGTCCTGGTCTAGTCCTGGTCTAGTCCGGGTCTAGTCCTGGTTTAGTCCAGGTTTAGTCCTGGTTTAGTCCTGGTTTAGTCCAGGTTTAGTCCGGGTCTAGTCCAGGTTTAGTCCTGGTCTAGTCCTGGTCTAGTCCAGGTCTAGTCCTGGTTTAGTCCTGGTTTAGTCCAGGTTTAGTCCGGGTCTAGTCCAGGTCTAGTCCTGGTTTAGTCCTGGTCTAGTCCTGGTCTAGTCCAGGTCTAGTCCTGGTTTAGTCCTGGTCTAGTCCTGGTTAGTCCTGGTTTAGTCCTGGTTTAGTCCTGGTCTAGTCCTGGTCTAGTCCAGGTCTAGTCCTGGTTTAGTCCTGGTCTAGTCCTGGTCTAGTCCAGTCTAGTCCAGTCCTGGTTTAGTCCTGGTTTAGTCCAGGTTTAGTCCGGGTCTAGTCCAGGTCTAGTCCTGGTTTAGTCCTGGTCTAGTCCTGGTCTAGTCCAGGTCTAGTCCTGGTTTAGTCCTGGTCTAGTCCTGGTTTAGTCCTGGTTTAGTCCTGGTCTAGTCCTGGTTTAGTCCTGGTCTAGTCCTGGTCTAGTCCTGGGTCTAGTCCTGGTTTAGTCCAGGTTTAGTCCTGGTTTAGTCCAGGTTTAGTCCGGGTCTAGTCCAGGTCTAGTCCTGGTTTAGTCCTGGTCTAGTCCTGGTCTAGTCCAGGTCTAGTCCTGGTTTAGTCCTGGTCTAGTCCTGGTCTAGTCCTGGGTTAGTCCTGGTCTAGTCCTGGTTTAGTCCTGGTCTAGTCCTGGTCTAGTCCAGGTCTAGTCCTGGTTTAGTCCTGGTTTAGTCCAGGTTTAGTCCGGGTCTAGTCCAGGTCTAGTCCTGGTTTAGTCCTGGTCTAGTCCAGGTTTAGTCCGGGTCTAGTCCAGGTCTAGTCCTGGTTTAGTCCGGGTCTAGTCCTGGTTTAGTCCAGGTTTAGTCCTGGTTTAGTCCAGGTTTAGTCCTGGTTCAGGGTTTGTCTGGTTCTCGTTGTTGTTTTTATAAAATGATGATGTCATATAAAAGTGGTTTGAGTTTATTTATTTTGTCGAAGAGAAATTAAATTTGTAACTGGACAAAAGTTTATTTAAAATATTTTACATCTTTATGAAGTTTGTAAAGTTACAGATTTTTATTTTACGTTTGGATTCTTCAAAACTGAACTAAAAAAAATCTGACGTGGAGAAAAGTTTAGTGAATTTTATTCAAACGTTTAAATCAGAAAACTGCATCTGAATCCTTCAAATACTTTTAGACGGATTTAAAACGAGACTAAACAGAGTGAATAAAATGAGTGTTAAATATTTTCATAAATTATTTGGTTTCACGTTCTATTTCAATTTAATATTTGACATTTTACTCTGGATGTTTTAAATAAATTAAATCTGTTTTTATGTTTAATTTGAGACTTTTGTGACTGAAACAAACACGACTCCAGGGTTTGACTGTTAGTTGTTTTTTTAGTTTTTTTTTTTTTTGTTTTTTTGAATACTTAAGAATAAAACACATCTGGTTTACCAAAATAAAACATTTCAGACACGTTCAGTGAAATATTTTTGTTGTTTTCAGCTCATGTTCAAACCAAAATAATCATCCAGATTTTCAAAAACAAAAACATTTTAAACACAAACTGAGACTTTTTCATTTTTCTGTTTTAGTGTAAAAAAAAAAAAAAAAAACAGATTTTGACCTCGATTTCCAATATTTAAATTAAAGTTTATTTCTCCTGAGTGTTTTAATTTAGATATTTTATTTAAACTAAACCGGGACTAAACCGGGACTAAACTGGGTCTAAACCGGGACTAAACCGGGTCTAAACCGGGTCTAAACCAGGACTAAACCGGGTCTAAACGGGGACTAAACCGGGACTAAACCGGGTCTAAACCAGGACTAAACCAGGACTAAACCGGGTCTAAACCGGGACTAAACCGGGTCTAAACCGGGACTAAACCGGGTCTAAACCGGGACTAAACCGGGTCTAAACCGGGACTAAACCGGGTCTAAACCAGGTCTAAACCAGGTCTGGGTGTGTCCATGTTCAGTTTGAGTTGGAAAGTGAAACGTGAGTTTATTTGTGGAAAATGAAAGTCTGAGGTTCACAGCTGCTCCGACGTCGTGCTCTTGAGCAACACAGGAAACTCCCTCAGATAAGAACACAAAGAACTCTGTCCTCAGTTGAACCAGGACTAAACCAGAACTACACCAGGACTAAACCAGGTCTAAACCAGATTTATTTTTCAGGTTTGTCCTTGTGTCAGTAAAACTTCATATAAACCAGAGAATCAAATATAAAAAATTAAAAAGGCAGAGTTTTTCTTGGTGTTATTTAAAATAATAAACATATTTTCAAAAATTCATTTCACATAAATAAGTCCAAACCTCATCACCAACGTTGGATCTGTTGAAAACAAACGTCTGGTCTTTGTCAAACCGTCCGTCTGATGTTGGTGTTTCATTTTTTGGCTCCAGATGTGTTTCGTTTCTTTTTGACTCTTT